GGGCGGAGCAAGCTGGTCAGGGGGCCATGGCGGAGACGCACCATCAGGTGGCCTATATCCCCCCCCCAAAAAAATTTTCTTGGGGAGAGTGCCAGGCTCAGGGACGTGCATCAGGTCAGGCTTGGGAGGGCTGGATGGGACCAGTAGAGAAGGCTCTGTAGGGCTGGCTTGAAGCTCAGGCTCTGGCGGGCAGGCGACGGGCTCAGGCTCTGGCGGGCAGGCGACGGGCTCAGGCTCTGGCGGGCAGGCGACGGGCTCAGGCTCTGGCGGGCAGGCGACGGGCTCAGGCTCTGGCGGGCAGGCGACGGGCTCAGGCTCTGGCGGGCAGGCGACGGGCTCAGGCTCTGGCGGGCAGGCGACGGGCTCAGGCTCTGGCGGGCAGGCGACGGGCTCAGGCTCTGGCGGGCAGGCGACGGGCTCAGGCTCTGGCGGGCAGGCGACGGGCTCAGGCTCTGGCGGGCAGGCGACGGGCTCAGGCTCTGGCGGGCAGGCGACGGGCTCAGGCTCTGGCGGGCAGGCGACGGGCTCAGGCTCTGGCGGGCAGGCGACGGGCTCAGGCTCTGGCGGGCAGGCGACGGGCTCAGGCTCTGGCGGGCAGGCGACGGGCTCAGGCTCTGGCGGGCAGGCGACGGGCTCAGGCTCTGGCGGGCAGGCGACGGGCTCAGGCTCTGGCGGGCAGGCGACGGGCTCAGGCTCTGGCGGGCAGGCGACGGGCTCAGGCTCTGGCGGGCAGGCGACGGGCTCAGGCTCTGGCGGGCAGGCGACGGGCTCAGGCTCTGGCGGGCAGGCGACGGGCTCAGGCTCGGCAGGGCTGCAGGGGAGCTCAGGCTCGGCAGGGCTGCAGGGGAGCTCAGGCTCGGCAGGGCTGCAGGGGAGCTCAGGCTCGGCAGGGCTGCAGGGGAGCTCAGGCTCGGCAGGGCTGCAGGGGAGCTCTGGCTCGGCAGGGCTGCAGGGGAGCTCTGGCTCGGCAGGGCTGCAGGGGAGCTCTGGCTCGGCAGGGCTGCAGGGGAGCTCTGGCTCGGCAGGGCTGCAGGGGAGCTCTGGCTCGGCAGGGCTGCAGGGGAGCTCTGGCTCGGCAGGGCTGCAGGGGAGCTCTGGCTCGGCAGACGTGACGGGGAGAAACACTGGCTCAGTGTCAAAGTCTATAAGGTTCATCTCCTCTGGAACCTGGACGAGGAGAGGAACTAAGGACTCTGGTGTGACTATCTCGGCGGGACTAGACTCTGGGATGATGGTTGGCGTGGTGGAGATGGCTGGAGTTGGTGGTTGAGTGGCGATGTCATCAACCTCAACTACGGTGAAGGGTGAGCCACTCAACCATAGCACATGATCCAGGTAGTGGGCAAAAGATCCTGGGATTACCGCCGCTGGAGCTTGATGATGAAGGGTATCATCTAACCCAAACCAAAAGACGGTCTCCTGGACCTCTTCTGCCCAGCTTACCCCTTCGGAGAGCTCCAGGAATTCAGCAACATACTCCTCGATGTGCCGGCCGTCTTGGAAACAGATCAGCTTAGATTCGTTGGAGTTGGAAGGGGTGAGGAAAATACCCATCTTGTCACTTTCTGTCTAGGTCGGTTCTTCTGTTACGGTAGGTGTAGGCAGAGGAAGACGAGGAGATCAGGATTTCCAAAAACAATAGACTTTACTTAATAAAGCAAAACAACAAACGGATACAGGCAGGCAGACGGGCAGAGGATAACACACCTAACATCAACGTTACATAAACGCACCTTTCACAAACGTACATACGAACGAGAACCGACAAGGAGTGAGGGAGAACACAGGGTTTACATACACAGAGAACGGATCATGGGAACAAGACACAGCTGGGGCAAATTAACTAGACACAGGTGAAGGAACTGAACACAAACGAGGAGCGGGAAAACTAACACAGGACTAAACCAAATCACAATGACGGGGGGAAACACAGGAATACAGACACAAGACAGACATAACTGTAACAATAACCTAGAGAATACTGTCTAACACTTGATGGCTGCTCTGTCAAGTCTTCGTCGTCGGTTGGGAACCTGGGTGTGCTCTTTGATAGCAATCTTTCATTTGAAAGTCACATTTCTAGCATCTGTAAAACCGCATTTTTCCATCTTAAAAATATATCTAAATTACGTCATATGCTCTCATTGGCAAATGCGTAACAATTAGTTCATGCGTTCATGACATCAAAGGCTAGATTATTGTAATGCTATCATGGGTGGTTGCCCTGCACGCTTAATAAATAAACTACAGCTGGTCCAAAACGCAGCAGCTCGAGTTCTTACCAGAACCAAGTATGACCATACAATATTTGCCCGGTTCTATCAACACTGCATTGGCTCCCTATTAAACATCGTATACATTTTAAAATATTGCTGATTACTTTCAAAGCACTAAATGGTCTAGCTCCCCAGTGCTTGAGCGAGCTCTTAATGCATTATAGTCCTTCACGTCTATTGCAATCTCAAAATTCCGGCCAGTTGATAATACCTAGAATATCAAAATCGACTGCTGGTAGATCCTTTTCCTATTTAGCACCAAAACTTTGGAACAGTCTTCCTAACATTGTCCAGGAAGCAGACACACTCTGTCAGTTCAAAGCTAGACTAAAAACACATCTCTTTGACCTAGCATACACATAACACACTATAGACTTCTATAATTCAATGTTAGGCTGCATAGATTAAGTTTGCGTAAAGAGAACTTAAGAGTTTTCTGTTAAAACGGTGTCGTGTTAGCGGCCCTAGTTAATAACTAATGATCGTTGCGACGGAAGTGAATCAATCAAAATTAACTTTAGCTGGAAAATAACTTTATTCTAGAGCTGCTGTAAAGCCAAAACAATCTCTGTTACTTTAATTTCCTATTATCACTGTAAAGCCGCTTTGGAACAATCTACATTGTTAAAAGCGCTATATAAATGAAGATGACTTGACTTGACGAGAAAATGCTTATTACTTTCTATTCCACCTCCATTTTCATTGTCTTGTTATTTCCGTCTACCTCTGTAATGTTGTCACCTGACTCAGAATCTCTATTTTTCCATTTTTTTGATGCGTCTGGAACCATCCCTCACTATCAATTATTGAAGAATCATCTTCATCATCCATATCTGCATCCATCCTCTCCAGTCTCAGCACAGTTGATGCTAACCCGCCACACCACCAGTGACCAACCTACTATAGTAGCTCCTGTCCCTCAGCTCAAAAAATGGAGAACATCCATACTAAATGGAGGATTTATAGCACAATATCCTACCTTTTATCTGAATGTTGCATATATTCTTAATAAGGCTTGAGTCAGAGCAAATAAGTGCATAATTTAGTTTCACGTCTAATATTTAGCAAATATAATGGGATCCTTTTATCCAACCAAAGCTGGTGTTTTTGCCTTTCCCATATTCCCAACATGGGTCTACTTTCTTTGTTGGGTGAAGATCATTTTGACTTGATAAATGTATCCAGTATGTCATCAATAATCACTTTTGTCTAATGTATGGAGGCATTTCTCCCAATTCCACCTGTAAAGGTGATATGGGGATGATATATATGCTCCACAGCAGATTCTTAAAGCCTGTGACTGATCATGGTCTATCTGCGACTGAATCCTTTCCAAATTTTGGGGATTTAGATGTAGAATTATAGGCTGTAACCATACACATCTCATAACATTTTGAATTTTCTTTTCTTTTCTTATTTTTTTACATTTCCCAATTATATTATCAATCTCCATGTTAGTCTGTTATCAAACCATAACCCATCATTTTCATTACTGAAACTTGATTTAAATTATTATTAACTTATAATTACAAGCCTCCTCTTATTTTCTTTTTAGTGCATATAATAGTTTGAGTCTTTTCAACTAAGAACTTAAAACCCCACCATAGCCCCACTGACAATTTCTAAACTTGATCAAGAGCTGTTTGCACCATAGAGAGCCATCATCTGCAAATAATGACTTTCCTAATTTCCCACTAACTGATGCAAATACATCATGATTATAACAAAATAGGGCTAATGACACTGCCTTGGGGAATACCATTCATCAGACCATTTATATATATATATATATAATATATATATATAGTTCTATTCAGAAGAATAGGACTAAATTTTTAATGCAATTAAATTAATGCAGTTTCAATGCTTGTCTGATTTAAAAATACTGCTATCATATTTTCTTTATTTACCAGTATTTCTTTTTTTTATCAATTTACAAAAGTCCAGTGTTCCCAACCACGTCTGAAAAAATCCTTTCTCCAAATAATACATTTGTCGATTTACTGTCACCCTTCACATTTATTTTCATTAAAGGGTTAGTTCACCCAAAAATGAAAATTCTGTCAGTAATTACTCAGAATTATAATTACCCTCATGTTGTTCAACCCCGTAAGACTTTCGTTCATCTTTGGAACAAAAAAATTATATATTTTTGATGAAATCTGAGAGCTGGCTCACTCCTTAGGCTGCTAGGTAATAGATATCTGCCATCCCAGAAAAGTTAGTAAAGACATCGTTAAAATAGTTCAAGTGACTACAGTGATTAATTAATTAATCCCTTCGATTCCTCACAGTGTTTAAACATATTAAAACTTACTCCACCATAATATGGAGCTGATATTTTCATTGATTCAGTGCTCTCTTTTTGTATTTTTATTTTTTTATTAAATGCTTGAAGAAAAGAAACGAAAAAAAAAGAAACACAAAACATTAACAACAATTATCATCATTGTCATAACATAAGCATAATACAGAGTCCTGACTCCTACTTCTGAAAAAGAGCGCGTGACGCGTTCTGTTTTCCCGTTGACGTATTTGATCTTTTTTGCTTGCCGTAGTAAGAACTGCAACGTAATTCAGGTCCCGCCCAATTTCAATGGTCGCGTCCCAATACATGCAACGCTCTCGTATTATCGCGTACTTAAATGCTGATGTATAAACACACTGAATAGTCTTTCGCCTGAGTGAGAGAATGAGAGATAGGTTTGAAGAACGACGCAGTCGCCATTTTGCTTTAAGCCTATTGTTTGTATATATAAATCAGCATTAAACAAGGACACTAGTCTGTCTTGATAAAGATTTGAGTTGAAGCCACAGACGCTGTAAATACGCTCAAATAATTTGGCGGTTAGCAGGAAGTTGCGGTGATCTTGAATATAAGTAAATATTTTATTCAGTTTATCTTTTGAGTAGGTCCCACCCAGACCAAGCGTTATACGATAACTATGGTGTGAATGGGTTATCATTGATAGCTTGCAAAGTGTTTGTTCAGTTGATCGCGGAGTTATTTGTCCTGACGCGCTGCTCTATTAACTTATGCGAGATGTCCAAACTACAGAAAACAAACGGTAAATATTTATGGTGGTGCCTCCTGTGTCTCGAATTCAGACCGGAGACCGTTACCAAAAACATCAAACATCTGAATCTGGGAATGTAAGTCATGCTATCTCTTTTTTTCTCATAACTGAATATCTTCGTCATTAACTCGTAATCGTGTGGTTTTTACAATGTTAGTTCTTATATGAATGTCTATTTTTTTGACGTTATAATTTGTCTTTTAATTACACTGGTCCTCGATGTACATCTTTGTAGTCATTGAATGCAGCCAAAAAATGTACTCATACCATACATGTAAACTCAGTACACTACCCGCACATAGGGTGCGTCTCAATAAGCTAGCTGCTACTCTTGTTCTGTTGTCAGGGCACTGATCAGGGAGTCGGCCATTTTAAGGGCTGTCTCAATAGCAAAGTTCTTTCCGTACATTAACTTTCGCTCCCTAAATATCCCCACAAGGTTTTTTTTTTTTTTAATACAAACCATTATTTAATTATAAAGATAAGTTACATCGCTACATGTAATGTACATAATCCAGATATTATTTATAATCTATTTACGGCTGTAATATTGCACATATATGTAACAAGAAAAGTACTTTACTTTAAATAACAACAAATTATATCATAAATAAATCAGTTCTGCTGCTGTTCATAAATACCAGTGGTGATGCTGTACAATAAATACCTTGTCATGGAAATTGTCATCAGTGTCCCAATGTGTTGTGAGCCGGGATCCTTACTGTACTTACCAGTGCCCGAATACGTGTACACTATTTAGTGGTCCAATTACTTAGGAAGCTAGAGAGTTGATTGAGACGCACCACAGTTCTCATCGCGCAAATGCTCCGCCCAACAGATATCTTGGGTTTTATGAAAAGCACTTTTAATACTCCTCTCTGTTTGGGCCTAAAGAACAGTAATAAATAAACAAACAAACAAATAAAATAGGTATTGGTTTGACCCATGCAATCTTGTATTCTAACAAATAAGGTTAGGCTATGACATCAATATTTTAGATACCAGGGAAATTTCACTTAATTCTCAATTCTTATTTTGATACCACAGCAAAAACTACTACTAGCCTAATATAAATTTAAAACAGAGTAGTAAACAGTCATTAATAAAATAAGAACAAATAAGCAAATTACACGCAATAGCACAAATAAATACAATAGGTTCAAGATACAAATCAGTGTTTTTCCTGGGTCAAAAATGTTCTTTGGTGGACTCAATACAAAGTACCAAGTACCCTACCCATGTGAACTGATTGGCCATTGTGTTCACACTGTCAACAGGTATGTCTGTGATTGGCTACAAAGCTCAGCGCTGCAGAAACACATTGTAAATCGAAACCTTTGACGCTCTTCACAGAGCACTTACACAATCACTCACAGGAGCGTATTAAAGCAGCCAGCTATCAGCGGGTACCGGTACTGCAGAAAGGCAGGTTTCGTTAATTGATAAAATAAATCTTTGGTAGGACAGATATTCATTTTGGTGGCTGAAAATGAAATAAACAGTGGTTTCAAGTTTTTCAGGTTGGCCTAACAGTAACTCCAAAAGGAATTTATTCTCTATATCAGAAGGCACAGTTTCTCGATTGTAGTCTTGAGGGAATACACGTCATATAATCCCTAACTTAAATCATTGCCGCCCAAGGCATATGCAAAAATAAAGAGGCGAGGCCTGGTTGAGTTGCGTTATAAGGTTGTAACAGTATGACATTTTCACGGTATGATAACAGTCTCAAAAATATTACGGTTTCACTATATATATTATTACATTATCATCAGTTACAATGACTGTAAATGAATGAAAACTGTTGTTTTTTTGGTTGAACAAATGCTTTATTAAAACAAACTTGAAATCATTGTTTTGTTTAATTCAAATTCCAATAGTCAAAAACATGTCTAATCAATTAAATTTAATAATTGATTAATGGTGCTTCGGTCAGGATTTTTGGGGTCAATCACCGATCACTGGAAGCAGTATCGGCAGATACGATCAATGAAATAATTAATACTAAATGATACATGATGAATGTATTATGTAGGCTACTATTATTTATTTATTTGTTTATTTAGCTATTCTTTACAACAATGTATATTAAAGTATTAAAATTGAGGAGAAAGTATTATAATTTAACTCTTTATTTATTGGCAAGCAACATGTGCAGCATATTCCATTCCCTCTCTTAGAAGTGATTAGCATTAGGAACAGCTTAGAGCTTAACCGATATAGCATTCCTGTGAAATAAATAAAAAAAAAACAAAAAAACAATCTTTATCATCAGGGCTTATATGAAGACCTCTGATGCAAAAGCCTCTAAAAGCCACCTCTGTCAAAAATGAGAGAATAATATTGAGTGAATGCTCTCCGCACATAGTATACGTTCAGTTCAGTTCAGTTCAGTTCAGTTCATCTTTATTCATTTCCCGAAGGCAATTTGGTTTGCAGCAAACAAGCATACACATAAAACAATGTCACACACACACACATACACGAAAATATGGGAAAAAAGATACCCAATAAACACATTTACCTAGAATTTAAAAACTTTACAGCTGATGGAACAAATTAATTTTTAAACCGATTCGTTTTACTGAGCGGAGTTCTGTCCGCTCAGAGAAGATAGAACTTATGATACAAGGGGTGAGAATCTTCTAACAAAATGTTCTGTGCTTTACCCAAAGCCTGTCTCTGGTATAACTGAGCCATGGTCATATGCTTATTTTATTTCCTTGATTTACCATCCTCTCAATACGATTTTTATTTTTCACATTCAGAGAATTGAACCAGCACAACAATGAAAAGGATATAAACGACTCAATATAGGATCTATAAAACATACACACATCAATGTTTTCTCCACATTAAATTACCTTAGTTTACGCAAACAATACAATCTTTGCTGCCCGTTCTTACACAAGGCATCAGTATTTGCGGAAAAAGTTACAATCTAATACAGTACCCAAGTACTTGTACTGTTCAATACTCTGGATACCCACTCCGTTAATAATTATTTGCTGTTCATCAATTAATTTCTCCCTCAATCTAAAATCAATACTCATCTCTTTAGTTTTCAGAACATTGAGTTTTAAAAAAAGCATTCTGACACCAAGCAGTGAAATCATCAACCACAGGACCATGCGTAGAATCCTCCTCACTCAATAAGCTAACAAGTACAGAGTCATCAGCAAATTTTAAGATGTGCCTATTACTAAAACCACTCTTACAGTCATTAGTGTACAGAATAAATAATAAGGGAGAGAGGACGCATCCTTGAGGTGACCCAGTAGTTAACAGTCGTTTACTTTGACTCTCTGTCTTCTCTGCACAAGGAAATCTAAAATCCAGCCTACCAGATAAAAATCCAACCCATCAAATACTTGTTCATCAAATACTTTCACTTCAAACTCACTAAATCCCAGCCTCAGCCCATTCAGAAATGCCGGTACTTGGGTAGCAACCTAGGAGCCTGATAAAATACTATTAAACAAACACTTTAGACAGAAGTCTTCATATATATATATATATATATATATATATATATATATATATTAGGGCTGCACGATTTGAGGATTGCGATTGTGATATAATGAACAAATGGTATCATGAGTCAACTTACTTGCTTATCAAGGAATATGTACACAGATTACTGCTGAAATGTGTATTTCTCAACTCAAACATACAAACTAGCAACAACAACTATAAATGCAGTGTTTTCAAATTAAACTAATATTTTTTACAAAGTTAAATAACAATAACATCTTTGCATTACTGCAGAATGGTTATTTTCTTACAGCTAAATAAAATAAATAGAACAATAAATAAGAACAGACAAATTTTCACTGAAAATAAGATATTTTGAACATTTTGTCCAAACAAACAAGAACATTTATCATTGATTTGCATTTAACATTGCAAGTCAATGATAATTGAGATATGGACAAATAAATGTGTCCCAAAAGCCTGTTACATTTACATTAACATAAAAAAAAAAAAATAAAAAAAAATTAACACGCATTGCCAAACAACCATTCTATTTTCAATTAATTTATACCCCCAAAGGGGTGGCGTGACCTGAGAGATACAAACATTTACAGGCAGATTATGTTTTTTTTTTTTAAAATTAAGTTAATTAACAACAACTTTTGAAACACGCAAGTCCCCTCCAAATATAGTAAATATGTGAAATATCAACTTTTTATCTGAAGGCGAGTAGATTTCCCACTACAGGTGGTCATGTTGTTTTGAAATGTTGCCTGTGTGAGCTAAACAAAGAATGTATGAAAGAAGTCTCCAAATATTTGCTTCACCCAGGATACGTCGCCCCTTTTAGGGTTAATTAAATGAATCTGGAAAGAAAGACATGAAATGTCTACTCAGACCATAACGGCAAAAAAAAAAAAAAAAGAGACCGAGAGAGAAAGAGAAACAGGACTTAATGAAAAAATATTTTATTCAAGACGCATTGCTGTGACATCAACGTGCATTTATCATCCTTACAACCAATCACCGTAAGAATGTCTTCCTTCACCATGAACCTAAAATTTGGGTTCAATGACATTTTCTTCAACAGTTGTTCTCACAAAATTCATTTCAAACATAAATTCGATAAGAAAACGGTGGAAATTATTAGCAACACCCAACGTAACGTTATGTTTAATGTTTTATAAATAAAACCACAAGTATCGTCGGCAGGGTTTTTACTCGCCAATCATTAAGTGTGTTGTGTAGTAGACTGACTCAGCTATTTCAGCTGTTATACGATATACTGTACGATATGCGAGTGATTTACTCGCATTGTAGAGGGTTGCATGATGAATTTTGACTTTAAGCCATGAAACAGGAAGTACTTGAAAGGCTAGGGATGCTCGGACACACCAAGATGTGAGGGCCTGATCAATGCTGCTTGCTTGCTTTCATTTTATTTATTTAATTTTTTACAGGAACATGTTTGATAAGCCGAACAAAGAGGCATTCTACATTGTCATACACTTTTTATTTGATAAACTGAATCCCATTCGTGCCCAAGACGTCTTCAGGTAACACTAGCTATACAGTACTTTTTTTAATTTTACAATCTTCATCTGTTGTGATTTGAATTGCTGATTCAAAAATGTTATTGTTTGTATAGACATTGCTGGCCAATTTGGGATCATACAGGTGATGCTGAGTTTCGCAAGGTGGCTTTTGCATGGCTCCAAGAGATAGCGGTATGTGCAATTTTGTGTTTTACATAAAACTTTGTTCATTTTGTGTTCCTAGAGAATGTTTAGGGGCAAAAAACGTCGAGTAATATGTGTCGAGTTACATATTAATATATTTTACTATTTTACTAAATACTTTTATTGTACTCTTTATGCACCTTTACTGGTTTTTAATGTTATTTTTTTTTTTTTTTTTTTTTTTTATATTTAGAACGAGGAAGGTAACACTTTTCCTAAAGTAGCTGCATCACATTTGCTCTCTGCTTTTGGACCAAGATTTATCAACTTGATGCTCCACTTATCCAAATATGTCATGCTGAAAACACTGAAGACACTGACCACAGGTATGCCATTATTATTAGGGCCCAAGCACTGAAAGTGTTCAGTGCCCTATTGTTTTCCTAAAGATCTGTGAAGCAATTTCCACAAAAACCAGGTTCCCTGTGGATCCTTAAAAAGCCCTAAATTCAGTTTTTATCAAATTTAAGGCCATACAAAGTCTTAAATGGTGTAAGAAAGGTCTCTAGTATCATGTTATTTTAATGTCAAGAGGTATTCAAGGAATTGTAATTATGGATTAATGTGATTTAATTAAATGTGAGCGCTGCACGTTTCAACAGGCTTGTGGTTTCAGAGCAGTTCACAGTCAATGAATAGTCCACATTTATGCCAAGCGATAGCTTATGATCTACTAGGGCTGCTTGATTATGCCAAAAATCATAATCACAAGTATTTGGGTCAGTATTGTTACCACAATTATTTAACTTGATTAGTGGCCGAGATGACAAATCTAATGAGTTGTTTTTTGCACCATAGCGATATAAATATCTAGCATATTTTGCTAGAAATTAGGTTGGTATGATATCAAAATTTAGATACTAGTGAAATTTAACAATTCTTGATACCAAATACTAGGCTAACTAATGCAATAATTTTTTTTTAAGCAATTAAAACAAATGATATTCAAACAATAGGACAAAATATACAATTTTATTAATTTTTTCTTTCTAATAGTATAGTGTTCAATAGCCTGCTATATACATTTATAAAGTAATCAAATGTAAAATAACATGCTGCATACTGCTCTGTCTTCACTGTATCAATTAAATATACATTAATTTTTAGTAAAGCTACCAGTCATTCAGTCAAGAAGAGTGATTTTATCGTTTTCTTTTGTTGTTTAATTAACATTAATGACAGACTGCAGCAGGTATAATAGGCTGCTGTTACTTTAAGAATGCACTTAAAGGAGAACTCCGGCGCAAAATGAACCTTTGGTCTAATAAAACATTGGTACCTAGTCAACCGTTCTCTGAGATTTGTTTTCATGATAATCGAATGTAAAGAGTTTTATCTCTAAAAACTGTTTAGCGTATAACGTTAGTAATGGGGACATCTATTAAGTAAAAATAAATCGCTAGTTTATACCACTAACAAGGCTCAAAATAGCCCCACACTAACACAGTAACATAATGAGGGTCCCTACATGCAAAACGAAGCATTGCGAACTTTGTAAGTGTACAGACCGTTTAATAAGAAGATATTTTATGAAGACTGTCCACTTCGTGTATACAGACAGGAGCCATCTTTGGAAAACAGTCTAAACTAGTCAAACCACGAACGCCATTCATACAGTTCAGAAGTTCACTGAACTTCATACAGTTCAGCTCACCTAGCACGTCGTTCGTGGTTTGACTAGTCTAGACTGTTTTCCAAAGATGGCTCCTGTCTGTACACACGAAGTGGACTGTCTTCATAAAATATCTTCTTATTAAACGGTCTGTACACTTACAAAGTTCTCAATGCTTCGTTTTGCATGTAGGAACCCTCATTATGTTACTGTGTTAGTGTGGGGCTATTTTGAGTCTTGTTAGTGGTATAAACTAGCGATTTATTTTTACTTAATAGATGCCCCCATTACTAGCATTATACGCTAAACAGTTTTTAGAGATAAAACTCTTTACATTCGATTATCATGAAAACAAATCTCAGAGAACGGTTGACTAGGTACCAATGTTTTATTAGACCAAAGGTTCATTTTGCGCCGGAGTTCTCCTTTAATGCACTGATCTAACATACCGTCACTCATCTGATTTCGGTTTCTGTTTACTTAAGACATAAACAACTGTCTTTGAGGAGACTTTTTGTGTGTATTTTACCGTTTAGGCATGTATCGCTTGTCTTAGTTTACTAATAACACTTTTTAATATCAAGCAAGTCCTGCAGTAGGCTGCATTTTCCAACAGTCATGTTACATGATTTGAGTGTTTTGGACATTAAGGACGGCCAAATGTGCACCGCTTTAAAGGAAAAGAACAGAATGTGGAACAATAATCGTTTTATCTAAATTATCATGTTTTCATAATTGTTTGAAGCTGAAATTAAAAATAAATTGCGGTTAATTGCATATCCCTATGATCTACTGTTAATGTATTATGTCAATGTTTATTTATTGTGATTATAGCATATCTGCAAACTCAAAATTCATCATTCTGACATGGTAAAAGGCCATTTACGTGATTCATGCAGTTTCGAAGAGTGTGAATATGTTTGCAGATATGTTCACACACTTATACTTACATACTTGGCAGGAGAAACAACCCTCTCCTATATTTGAATTTGGGTTTCAGTACCCATTTCAACCACTAGCTGTCAATATCACATACGGCACCATTAATATTAAAATAAACAAATGTCATTTGAGGTGAAACAACGCTTATGAGTGGTTTATCTACTTGAAGGTGCTCGCCCAAGCAGAACAATCATTTACTGTTGCCAGATTGATTACAGAAAACCATCTAAATGCAATTGAGGCCAAACTAATCAAATTAACAAAAATTAAACCATAAATATATATTTGTTTTTCCTCAAACAAAACCATTTCTGAAAATCCACGAAAAACATAGTCTCTGATATTTTACACAAAGTAGGTTATAGGCTACATTATTTGGCAACATGGGTTAAAAAAGCAGCTAATGTAATATTGCAAAGGATCGGAGAACAAGTTTCAACATTCAAATAAGATAGGAAGATGGGCATACTTTTAAATCTACGCCTGCCCTGGTGTTTCTTATTTGTCGTCTCTTATTTTGGTCTGTGTCATACCTGGTTGAAAAAGTTCCCCCTCGCCACTGGTGTTTAGGGCTGCAGGCTGTGCAGACATCTCAGCAATTTTTTCGAACCCAAATGGACCCGAATGTAAAAAGCAGTTATTTTCTATTATCCAGGGATCAAATGATCATGTTCAGGGTATATTTTCAAATTGATATAATTGTGTTCTACATTTGTCACATCAACAATTAGATGACAAGTGGGTCCCTGAGGCTGCAGCTGTACCAGCGAGTTCAAAGGAGCTGGAGATAAAAAGATTTCAGCTGGTGAAGAGACAATTCCAGAGAGTGACCGTAGAGCAGGACTGTCTTATTCATGACTATCAGAAAAGAGCTAAGTGAGTGGCCACATTCCTCCATTCACTGGTTGGAGGCACTGCACATCAGTTGAATCGGTTACATTACAGGAAGTCTTATTTTGTAATATAATGCATCTTATATTTAGACAATTTACTTGCTATTAGTTGCCTTTCATAGGTTCACTCAACGCTGCATAAGCTGACACTATGGAAACGCCTCTAGGTTTGGCCATTGTCTGAAGTTCGCCAATTCATTGGCTGATGGCACTGACAATGCCTCTTATTATGTCATCGCCATCATATAAGGACGTGCCCATTACATCAATCCTCAGATTTCAGATTTTCTTATTCTTTAGGAAGTGATTTATGTCTCTGTCAGGGTTTTTCTGTGACGTGGTCAATCCTGTCATTGAGAAGTTTTATATGGTCAAGCAGCCTGGGCTGCGCAATTAATCGAAATAAAACCGTGAGTAACTCATTATCTGCCGGTGTTTGCAGCGGGTCAGTTTTCAATAAATGCTGCTCCAGACAAACTATCTCTGCATATGCTCTGAGTTTTGTTCGCTTTAACATGCATTTGGCAACGCAACATGCGGCAACCATCTTTCCGTACTTGTAATGAGTGCCAACAAAAGACAAGCTTTAAGGGATCCATCAAAATAAAGTTAGATGGTTTAACGTTTGAAAATGAAGAAATTAAGACAGCCATAAATATTAGTATTGGAATTTTATAGTTGTAATGTAAAATAAAATGATTGGTATTATAAAAATGTTCCTTCTCAATTTTTATAGTGAAATTACAATAGTAGTAATTACTTTGGTTTTTAGTAATTTTGTTTTAATTTAGTAATAATAATAATGAGGCGGATTAATGATGCTGAAAATTCAAATGCATTTTAAATATATTCGAATAGAAATGTCATTTTAAATTATAAAAATATTTCACAACATTACTGTTTTTCCTGTATTTTGGATCAAATACTGTAAATACAGCCTTGGTGAGCAGAAGAGACTTCTTTTAAAAACAAAAAAATCTTACCGTGTTGTGGGAGGGGTTGCTTAGTTGGCAGCCACTTGTAGCATGGCACTGTGGTATAAAGCATTGTTTACCAACCCTGTTCCTGGGCTGTGTTTTACTCCACTTTTAGACATACAATTTCAAACTTCCCCTCAGGGGAATCCCCACTGCCATTTTGAAGCGTTCAACTTCATTAAGTGGACGAGGGAAGTTTAGTTGGACAGACCTTCGAACCCTTGATTTTCGAGGGTCACTTCAGGCAGAATTTAATAATTTAATGCTGCATTTAATGCTTAAGCTTACTGTTTTTTACACAGTTATAGTTTATATAGCTATTTTCCTTCGTGTATTTAAAAAAAAATATTTTATATTAAAACTTTTAATAATAAATTAGCTCCATATCGGATTCCAAGTGATCAAGGGGTTAGGGTGTTCCATTTAAACGCATTGCAAGGATTTCACCAGTAGTGGGCACTTGTTGCGTGTACGCAATGACGTACATTCGAGTGAACAAGACAGAGGGAAGTTAGTGAGGAAAGGGCTTAAAAAAATTGGACTTAAACGCAGCCCAGCGGTTCGTTCTTCGTACGTGGATTACTTAATTGTTAGGTTCTTTAAAGCTCATCCTGGAGTTGCTGTCATAGCAACATGTCCGTAAGCTCAAACCCTCTCGATAGCAGGCTTATTTCATGTAAACAGGATTAGATTGCATCTGTTTAAGCGAAGGTGATCCTTAAAGTCTGTCCCAGCCACAGCTACTTTCTTGCAAGAGTACCTTATTGAACCAGGAACAATTTGAACGATTTTAATGAGGTATGATTTAAAAAAAAAAAAAAAATTGCAAATAATATTATAATGTTGTGTAGTCGATCATGATATAGACACAGCCAGTTTTACTTATTGAGAGATTTATTCGTAAGGGAATAATTACCTAATAGTTTTATTGCAGTCTTACACACAGTACAGTTAGTCTAAGCCGTGCATTAATTTGCAGCTATTATGGGAAAAATGGAAATAATTGGCAATCATGTAACAAAGTACATTTCATTTCATTTATCTATTATAACTTTTGTCGCATTGGTTTCCTTATAAAGGTCCAGAAATTCTAGTTTTTCATCAGGTGTGTGATGTTCTTTTTTAATATGATGTTATTACGTTGCTGTCTTCCCGCCTGCCAATCGCTGCATTGCTGATTATGGTTTCAAGTATCGTTATATCTGCCCTTTCCAATGAACACAAGAACGCGCAGTAATCTCAGACAACTTCATCCAGATATTTTAATCAAATCCGCAAATTTGTTTGAAGAACCAAATTGGCTAGAGATCAGTTATCATAATTAGAAGATATGGCATCTGTCAAATAATCTCAGATGTATTAAGAGAGGTACAAAGAACAAACCCCTGGGCTTTCCGTTTTTGCATAAATTCCATACTCTTACCTGTACTTATTTTGAATAAGTAATTACTTCACGACCGCTAAAAAAGTATGTTCTATATAGTATGAATGTAATCTGGACGTACTACATTCGCCATGTTGTCATTATCATGTGACCTACCAGCATCAGTTACATAATTGCTTCACTGCCATTCATAAATCCTCTCCTGTGGCCTCATGGGATTGTATAGTGTACATCAAAGAATCTCGCCGGAAGTTGGTCATCTGGGTACTGTTTGCCTACTCTTTTATGAGTACTTGTGAATTCGGAGGCAATACTACTTTTGTCACATACTGTTTTTCACCTACTATATAGTAGGGAAGTATGCGATTTCGGATGCAGCCCTGGAGTCAAACCAACACTACACATTTTCAAACTCTTCCTAATCAAACACACCTGATTCAATTCATCAGCTCATTAGTAGAGACTCCAAGACCATAAATATATGGGTAAGATAAGGCATGCCATGCGGTGTCTCGTTTCCTATACATAGCTTACCATATTTGTCCTTTTCTGCTGCTTCCTTCATCAAAATCTGAGGATTGATGCCATATGGGTGTGTCCTTATATGATGTCGATGACACAACATTTCTTTACGGGCTTCAGACAATCGTCACAGCTGAGGCAGTTCTCATAGCCTTAGCTACTGTTGCAGGGTCTCATTCCCTACTCAGGTAACCAAGATGTTTTTTGTTTTCAGAGGTTTGGAAAAGTCTTTGAGGGACCTTGATGCAGAGGATGCCAAATATGATCATTTGCTTAAGTAAATCTCTAAAATATTTTTTTTTTACAGCTTTGTTGAAGTAAATTGCACAGATCATTTTCACTTCACTAAAAACAATGTTTCTTGTTTGTAGAAAACATGACCGTAACGCAGATTTAAAGGAAGACATTATTGCAAAAAATCGAAAGGTTTGTACCACATGTTCACTTTTCAGTTTCTTTTTCTAATAAGTAATCTCTTGACTACTGAAATTTCAGTACTATTATTTCTAATATATATATTTGTTGTGTAAATTACATTCTCAGGTGCGAGGCCTTTGGAATGAGACAGACAGAGTCTTATCCACCCTTGAAGGAGAACGAAAAGTAATGGAGAGTGTGATCCATGGACAGGTAGACCAGTACATCTTGGGTGGGCAGAACCTGAGTGTGAAGTTGCCTGCAGTTTTACGTGAAAGCATGGAGCAACTATCCCACCAGGTGAGATCTACAGGCAGAAAAGGAAAACTTAAACACAAAAACGCATACATTTTCACAAGTTAATGAACACTCCATGCATTTCCTAAAATCTCAATAGATCAGCCTTTCTATTTTGGTGTTTAAAATTCTTACAGTAAGTTTTGTGTCCATAGTCCAGTGTTGGTAGCTTGTATGAGGGAGGGCAGCCTGTCATCGTGCCTTTGCTGGAGCTTCTAAATGAGGGATTACACGTCCTTAGTGAGGAGAGAGAGAAAATTGGAGGCCCGAGTGTACAGCTTCAACACAAAGACCTTCAGGAGAATGCCTTGCTTTTCAGCCGCTCAAAAGAAAACCTCAAGCTTATCAGGTACAATTAAACGTGCTCTTGAACATTCATAATCAAGTTATGTGTCCTTTAATGTGATTTAAATTACTGACCATGTGTCTGGGTTAGTTTTAAAGTTGTTTGTTAAACGTTACATTAAAAGACAAAATGAAAAACAAAAACACCTGGTTTCATTTCATTTATGCCTCGTTTCCACTGAGTGGTACGGTACGGTACAGTTCGGTTCGGTACGCAATTATTTGCGTTTCCACTTTCAAAAGTTGCGAATGGTACCAAAAAGCCGAACCGTACCGTACCACTTTTTGGGTACCCTTCCGTTGGGGTACCTAGCACAGTGGTACGGTACTAAAAGGTGGAGCTAGACTCACTGCAGAACGGTGATTGGTTGACAGAGTATCGTCACTTGCGCGTGCTACAAAGGCATTAGAAGCGCCATTTTTTAATATACAGTTGAAATATAATACTACTGTTATTGTGTCACGAAATGTAGTTTTAAGAGTTTTTCAGGCGAGAAAGTAGTTTTTTAAAGCTCAAATCTGTGGTTTATTTATAGATTTATGATAATTTGAAGATCCATTCCAAGCAATCACCGGGTGCTCGGCGCTCAAGTACCCCGCCTGGAGCAGCCTTTCCCCGGCTAGTCGTTCTGATGTTTGCCGCTGACTCTGACGTCTCTGTAGTGGTTAAACATGAGATATAATTCGTCTTGTACAGACCTAACAGGCGATCTTTGGTCTCGTGAATCTATAATTCGTTCCCTGGTCAATAGTTTTGGCAGAAGGCTAAGTGAAGTTTCATATTTGAGCGCTGAATTTGTATATTTTGACTGAATTGTTTGCTTTATGTTATTAAAGCTTTACTGTATATCTTTTTGTACCTTTTACTTATACTTTTATAATGGCTATATTATTGATAAAACTGAAATTCAACAAAAATAGATAGTTTTGTCATTTTTTAATTTTATTTAAGATCATCTGTAATGTTGTTTATTGCAACATTTGTACCAATGCAATATGCAATACATTGCCTGGAATATGTTTAATATTTTTAAATTTAAACGAAAAGAGGCAGGATTGTGTTTTATATTTAGTTTTGTTATAAATATAACGTTACATACATGCAGTGAATATAATCAATAGTCTATGCGTTGCCTGAACCACATTTGTGTGCTTATAATGTTTAAAATGTATTTAAATTAAATCGAAAAGAAGCAGAGTGGTGTTTTATAACATATTTCGTTTTATTGTTGCCTAAAATGTATATAACCGGAGTAGCAGAGCGAGCTGAGTGGCGCATTCAAGAACGCGCTGTTCCATCAGCAGAATTACTGGACTCGCGTCCTCGGGAGTCATCTCCTGAGTCGGACTTTGCGTGGCTACTTGGTATTGAGAAACGCCTAATGCCAGCGCTTGTTTCTTGTGACAAACATCCCGAGAAGCAAGAACAAGATCTGCTGTTTGTCATCCATTGTTGTTTACTATGTCGCTTTCTTCGCGCGAAAATGACGTCGATCGCTTCTTTCCGGCAAACACCACGCCTATCAAGTAAGGGTACTGTTGGCAGTGGAAACGCTAGCCGGATCATGCTGTACCGACCCGACCCGTACTGTACTGTACCGTACCGTACCGTACGCCTCAGTGGAAACGAGCCATTAGAAAATCATTGTCACCAGTGACACCAGTCATCTCTGATTGATCAATGTCTAATTTGATTCATGTGTTGACAATTTAAATCTGTGGCCATATTTCTGGGTTCACAGTCACCTGAGTATAATGGTATGTGAAGGAACAATGAATTTGGGGGTCTTTTACTGGTTGTTCAGCTTTTGAACATATTATAGTGTTTCAGTTTAACACTTAAAGAAGTCAAGTGTTAGAAGGTACAATTTACTTTTTTTTTTCTTTAAAATTGATTTTAATCTTTCCAGGCGGAAACTGATTAAAGAGGATGCAACCGAGATCAAGGTCTCTATTAGAAGAATGGAGGAGGACTGGGAGAACAATTGGGCAGTGTGTTTGAAAAACACACCCCTGAGCTCTTTTCTTATAGAGGATCCTGTAAGTGAAGTAATTTCTGGTTTTAAATCTATGCTGCCAGTTTAGTTTCACTGGTCATACAGTTCACTTTGTCTTCTCTGAAACTTTGCTGTGTCCAGATTATACAAAGCAGTATGCATAGCATACAGAAGTCACATGTTTAGTTTGGTGCACCTTTCTCAATGTTCTGACTTTTTGAATGAGGATGATCTGCTTTCTGTAAATAGGCTCTTGACTTTGTCTCTCCAATGGCTCCCCTCTCATTTGAGCCGGCTTCTGAGGCTAGCTTTGAGGCTAGTGTCCTCTCACAATATCCATATAAACTACCTGGTAAGTTAACAGCTTAGATGGGTGCATTATGTGATATCTTTCCTCTGTAGAGATGGTGTAATTATCCTTTTTTTTTTTTTCTTCTTCTTCTCCCTCACTTTTGAGAATTGTTAGAGCAGCCGTCAAAAAGAAAACCAGAGGTAACAGTGACAGATGTCCATTTTGAGCCAGAAGTCCAACTGGAGCCCGAGCTCAAAACGTACAGCACAATTTGAGTCTTTCTAAATAGTGAATGTTGGGAAAATAACTTTTGTTCTATTTTCATGGAAATAAAGTGTAACTTCCTCCCCAATTTCTCAACAGCACTTCAATGGCAGCTGAAGATAAGGGGGTCCTGCTGTCTTCTGACAGCAGCTTTTCCACAAAACCGATGACTTTTGACGCACCACCATGTCAATCTCCCTTGCTTTACCCGGTTAAAATTCAGTCTGTGACCCAGACAGCCACTCCAGTGCAGGTAGTTTTGTATTGCTAAGCTCTATGCTTTTTCTGCCTGTATCTCTTCATTTTAGCCCCATGCATGCTGGCACAAATAAACACCCTATCTCAGTTGCTGTATTTGCAGTTAATACCTTGTAGATTTTGTTCTGGGAAACTGATACATGGGCAGTCCTGAGCAGTGCTCTACTCATCACAAGTTTTCCCTATATCAAACCTGCTCTCTGATGACCGGTGCGAACTGAGAGAAATCGCCACGGACAGATACGGAGCAGACAATCCTCTGCTTGAGTTTATATAAATGTACTGTATGAAAAGGTTAATTTTACAATCCGTGCTTTCTGGAATACCCCCAGAAGTTCATGCAAATAATGGAATGTTTGTTTGCATTATACTTGATCTGTGAGCATGTTTGAAAACTGTAAGTTTGTAAGTTCCACCTTGTTTTTTGTTTTCAACATAACTTGGATTATCCCCCCTCTCCCTCTTTTACAGCCTAGCCACAGAAGTCTGCACTCAACAAAGACAAAGGCCTCTGTCCTAAAGAACAAGGCTCAAATTTTAGATTTGGAGTATGACAACTTAGCAAGTCAAGTATGTGATTTTTATTTATTTATTATTTAAGTACACTGAGGTAATTTAATACAACTACTGAGGAAATGTAAGATTTAACTTCCCTCTAAATTACTGAACTAATATTTAGTTGCATAACCATTGTTTTTGATAACTGCGTTGCATTGAGTCAACCAACGTCTGGCAAGTAGAAACTGGTATTTCAGCCCAGTATGAATGAAATGCATTCCACAGTTCCTGTGAATTTTGGGGTTTTGCTTCAGAAGCTGCATTCTTTGTCACTCCACAAGTTTTTAATAGGGTTGAGGTCAGGGGATTGAGCTGGCCACTCCATTACCTCAGTCCTTTTAGTCTGGAACCAAGATGTTGCTTGTCTTCAACTAGACAACGACCCCAAAGCACACGAGTGAGCACTTGTATGCTTGGGGGTCGTTGTCTAGTTGAAAGACCCATTTGAGGGGCATTTCCTCTTCGGCATAGGGCAACAATCTCCAAGTATTTTGATGTATTCAAACTGATCTATCCCTGGTGTACAATAAAATAGGCACAACACTGTAGTATGAAAAACATCCCAATACCAAGATTTTTGCACCACCATGCTTCTGTCTTCACAGTGTACTGTGGCCTGAATTCAGTACCCGCCTGACGTACTGTAGATGAACACTAGACCCGAAAAGAACAATTTTACTCTCATCAGTTCACAGAATTACGACATTTTTCTTTGGACCAATTGATGCAAATTGTAACCGGTTCTGTACATGCTTTTTTAAACAATGGTGCTTTATGGGGGCTTATAGCTTAGCTTCTTATAGCAAACGTCTTCTGACTAAAGGTACTTACAGGTAATTTTAGATCTTTAGATTTTTTTAGCACAACTGAACAGACTAAAATAGCTGTGTTTGCAGTTTAGTGCCTTATAGATTTTGCTCTGGGAAACTGATACATGGGCAGTCCTGAGCAGTGCTCTACTCATCACAAGTTTTCCCTATATCAAACCTGCTCTCTGATGACCGGTGCGAACTGAGAGAAATCGCCACGGACAGATACGGAGCAGACAATCTTCTGCTTGAGTTTATATAAATGTACAGTGTGAAAAGGTTAATTTGCTGTTTGGTTCTCAGTTTGCAGAGGCAGTGATCATGAGTCCAGTCAATGGAAGGAGTGATGTGGACCTTGGGCAGTTACTATATGCCACATCTGACCCTTTTTCAGCTAGGCAACAACTATGCCGCACCCCTGAGAGTCTAAGTACAAGTCTTTTGATTTCTTCTCCATTTAGTATTTTAAGTTATAAATATTTAGCTCACTCTTCATTAGATATAATTTTAAACATGTAGCCTAGCTTTATGTATCTTTTTTAATAAACTCTCCCTAGTTAAGGATGTGAGAAGTTCGTGGAGAAAAGCTGTGGAGGAAGGCATGGCTGAGAAGAAACAAGCATCTTGGAATCAGCATGACAGTCTTTCTTGGCTCAAAAGGCCAATGGGTGAGGTGAACAGCCCTTGCACAAGACCAAGTCCAGAGCTTTCCCTCTTATTTTCAACTACTCTTGCCCATTGCACTCCCCCTCCTGTCCAGCAGGGGTCACCCCTTCACTCAACTGTGTCATGGGACTCCTCGCAGCTGGAGGCTTTTAACAGCCAAAGCTCAAGTGATGTTATTAAATTCAACATTGCTCAGGAGGAGCTCCCAAATCTTTTTGAGGATGAGGTGTCATTTAACAGTGACTGCTCAGAGGAGATCCACGGTAACAAGGAGCGAGAGGAAGAACTTATACTGCCACCTGTTGAACTGATGACACAAATGTGCTTGGAGCCCTCTTTAGATAAATCCCCTTTCAAAGACTCCCCAGTACATTCAAGGAAGAGCCCAGGTTTGAGCCACTGGACTGCTGAGGAGAGGCTTTTCTCTCTTGATCTGGACAAGCTTGAGAGTCTTTCCCCTCCTTCTCCTGCAGAGAAATTCACCCTGCCCAGTTTAGTGAATTTGACTCTTGACGAATACTAACATATCTTAATAAACAACTATAATTGTTTACATACTAGTATGATGCAAAATGTGTCTGCCAAATCAAATGAAATTACTGCTTGATGTGCTTTCACTTGATCTAATCACAAGGACTCTGAACCTTTTTAAAGCTACTATCAACTAACTCATTTGTCTGAACCATGTGAATTCTTATGACATCAATACTAAACTTTAGTATGTACAAATTAATTGTAAAAGGTAAATATTGGCTACAAATGTTGGTGTTCATGTTTTGTAATAAAGACTATATTTTTTGCAGACCCTCATTTATCTCTGGTCCATTTTAAATGTATTTTCCTTTAACTGATTTTAATTTGTGCAACTATACAATAACAAACTACAAACATTAGTATACTGAAAATAAATACCCAGCCACCTGTTAATCATGGTGCGCACTACTCTAGATCTGTGGCATTAATGAGTCTGTGCAGAGCGGAAGACAGAGAAATGTGTAGCAGCGAGTCACTCATGGGCGGGTTCATCCGCCTCCAGCAGTCAGTCCGAGAAACCCGAGAGCGCAGCAAAGTAACAAACACAAACATGGCGCCTACTTGCTGCCATACAGGCTAGCGTTGTACAGAAACAAAGTTCCAAGGATTAAACAACGCGCTCACACCGGGTGGACGTTTTATTCTCACTCGAGACGGAGTGAACGGGCTGAAAGTTGCAACTTGCCTACATGTCAACGTGTTTTCCTACAGAGCTCTGAACGGCTGGTACGTAGTACTATTGCGTTTGAAGTTGCTTCATGCAGACAATCGCATTAAGTTGTTGCATATTCTCCGGCTGGTAGTTTCGGAATGACTTGTAATGTGTTATTTTCGCTGGCGGTCTTTTTAAGGCTTGTTTATTTCCACGATTCGGTCGACATTTCTTGTTAAAACGCATACTTTCGTTTGCTTTTTATTGCCTCAAAGTAAGTGAGATCGAGTTGTGTGTGTGTGTGTGTGAAGTTGTTCGATCTAGTCAAGATGCAACAGTTGGACACCGGAGCTCGTTCACAGGCCTCGTTAGGAGAGAGATACTGTATCAAAATCTAGTGTACTGTCTACCTAGACAACGTTTTTTTTTGGGGGGGGGGGGGGGGGGGGGGGGGGGGGGGGCTGAAATTATGCGCACATGATGTCTAAAAGGCAGTTCCCTATTTTTTGAGATGGCTGTGTTGTCTGGAATAAAGCGTGTAGGGTGTGCCAGGTCAGCGTGCAGGTATACTGCACATCCGCCTGTTTTAAGTTGCAGATGAATAAGCCAATTCACCTATATATATATATTTGTATTTATATATAATGTGTTTGTGTGTGTGTGTGTGTGTGTGAAAATCAATACAAAAATACGCATAAGATCTACATTCTACATGTCTAAGAAAATTATAAAATATAGTATAATGTAGGCGGGAAAATATTTGGGACATTTATGACAAAGACAAATACATTTATGACCCCTTGTTTCACAGACAAGGCTTAAGCTTAGTTTCAGACTAAAATGCATGTTTGAACTGTTTTACCTGAAAGCAACTTGCACTGACATAAGATACAGACCAGTAGGCTAATGTAGCTACTTTTCTAAGGCACGTTTATAAAAACTACTTAAAAATGACCTTAATAAACTAAGGCCCATTTCTAGCTTAGTCTAAGCCCTGCCTGTGAAACCATGCTTAAGTCTCAGTTTTGCCTCAAGGCCTGGTTAAGGTGTATGAACATTTTGATTATATTTACCTAGTTCGTATTGGATTTAAAGGAGATATTGTATTGCCATCGAGTCCTCTATAACAGAGATGGAAATTTGTATTGGTATGTTTACAGATCAAAATTTTAGTGTCACAGCTCTTTTCATATTTGTACTCTCTGCATATGGGTGGTTGACATGTCAGGCAGTGACATTGTGACAAAACTGTTAAACATCAAAACATAAAAATGAATTTACAATTATAAACAATAGGCCTACATGCTGTGCAGAAATGATAACAACGTTAACAAGTTACAGCATTGTCCTCTATATACACCATATGTATTTGGTGTATTATTTTTATTAAAGAAAAGTGTTATTTGCCAACTGACCATATGCTAATTCAAGGATACGAGTTTGTTTTCATACTTTTATTGTGTTTAGAGGGAGATAGTGAGTGATTCACATTTAAGTGATTGATCAATAGCTGTAGTGACCTTGACTGTCTGGATTTACCCATTGTCTGTGCAGTGGGCCTCTGTTCATTATACTGAATTAGGATCACTAGGTTGAAGGTTTTGCGTGTGCCTCTATGTTTGTGTGCATGTGTGCTGACCTTGCTGTCCTCAGGAGCGGTTACAGGTAACCGTGAGGCATTGTGGGTATGACATAAGACAGGCCATGTGGCAAGAGGGCAGGGCTGCTCAAATGAAAGGGAAACACAAAACCACACGATAATACTGTCGCTGTGCTCGCTCTCCCTTTAGCTTGAAAAGGCTTTGAGAAGTGAAATCAATTATGTCACGTGACGTGACTGAGTTGTTATGTTTTGTGCGAAAGGCACTCAATAAAAGCATGCTGTTGTTGGGTCATGATAGTGATACTAAACGATGTTTGACACAGAAGAAATGTTTGAATCATGGTAACAAAGCCTTTTTTGTATTGTGACATTGTTGTCATGGCGCTTAATCAATTCCCACTAAATCTTCTTTACTGTAATGCAGATTTACAATTAAAATAGTCCTGTCATACTTACAGTGAGTATACAAATGGGAATTTTTTTTTTTTTTTAAATTGCAGCTTTTTGACACATAAAAAAATCAATCCAAATCAAGTCACCTTTATTTATATAGGCTAGCGCTTATTACAATACAGATTATTTAAAAGCAGCAGGTTTCAATGATAACAGGAAAATAATGCAACAAAGTTTGTGTCTAGAAAAAAAATAGCGTCATAGTCCAGCTTAAAGGAGAACTCCGGTGCAAAATGAACCTTTGGTCTAATAAAACATTGGTACCTAGTCAACCGTTCTCTGAGATTTGTTTTCATGATAAACGAATGTAAAGAGTTTTATCTCTAAAAACTGTTTAGCGTATAACGCTAGTAATGAGGGCATTTAATAAGTAAAAAGAAATCGCTAGTTAATACCACTAACAAGGCTCAAAATAGCCCCACACTAACACAGTAACATAATGAGGGTCCCTACATGCAAAACGAAGCAAACTACAGACCGTTTAATAAGAAGATATTTTATAAAGACAGTCCACTTCGTGTATACAGACAGGAGCCATCTTTGGAAAACAGTCTCGACTAGTCAAACCACGAACGACGTGCTAAGTGAGCTGAACTGTATGAAGTTCAGTGAACTTCTGAACTGTATGAATGGCGTTCATGGTTTGACTAGTCGAGACTGTTTTCCAAAGATGGCTCCTGTCTGTATACACGAAGTGGACTGTCTTTATAACATATCTTCTTATTAAACGGTCTGTACACTTACAAAGTTTCTCAATGCTTCGTTTTGCATGTAGGGACCCTCATTATGTTACTGTGTTTGTGTGGGGCTATTTTGAGCCTTGTTAGTGGTATTAACTAGCGATTTCTTTTTACTTATTAAATGCCCCCATTACGAGCGTTATACGCTAAACAGTTTTTTTTAGAGATAAAACTCTTTACATTCGATTATCATGAAAACAAATCTCAGAGAACAGTTGACTAGGTACCAATGTTTTATTAGACCAAAGGTTCATTTTGCGCCGGAGTTCTCCTTTAAGTAAGTTCAGTGATGGTTAATTTTTGTTGTAAAAAAAGTTATTAATTTAGTTCATTTATATGCAGCCGCTCTGGAGAAAACTGTGATGTCATCGTCCAGCTCAGTTCAGTTCTCATATAATGGTGTCAATGCAGGCAGATCAATAATATTGTTGAATATTAAATAAAATGCAATCCAAGCTAAATTAACTAAGTGCTTTTTCCACTTTTAATGTAATATTGAAACCAACCAAATTCTTTCAACTAACCAATATAAACTTTTATAATAGGGCATGTTACTCTGTTTGGAATTAAATGGCACAAATGATGCACCACAATGACATTCCAAAGAACAGGGCACCTGTCAAAAAATGATGTAACAAAACAAATCTAAATCTTATCAAGGAGGCTGGTAAGAGACTTACTGTAGCATTAAATGAGCTGCAAGAATGTCTGGTCATGTGCTGAATGTGACAACAATATACTGTTTTCTATATATGTCAGGGCTATGGGGTAAGGTGGCCAAACAGAAACCATTCCGAAGACCCGTATGTTTTGCAAGACACTCCCCTTTCTATAAATTTTTTTTTATTGGACAGTTCCATCTATAATGCAAATTGACAAAAAAAATTATGTAGCTCACTTAAAGGGTAAGTTCACCCAAAAATTAAAATTCTGTCAGTAATTACTCACCCTCATGTTGTTCCAACCCCGTAAGACTTTCGTTCATCTTCGGAATCGGAACACAAATTAAGATATTTTTGATGAAATCTGAGAGCTGTCTCACTCCTCCATAGGCTGCAAGGTAATTGCATCTGCCAGCCCAGAAAAGTTAGTAAAAGACATCTTTAAAATAGTCCAAGTGACTACAGTGGCTCAACCTTAAGTTTATCAAGCGACTAGAATACTTTTTGTGCGAAAAAAACAACAAAAATAACGACTTTACAGGCTTTCGTCACTCTCGTCAAACATATGCAGATGTGCTCTCAGAAGATCCCCAAGCAATGCCAAGTCTGTCATTCTCAAAACCAGTTCAAACACTATAAACACCTTTTATACAGACCCCGATTATTTATTTATTTTTATTTTTATTTATTTATTTGAGCAGTAACCATTCTGCTCAAAAGGAGTGGGCCAAAGCAAAAGAGCTTATAAGCGCCCACCCCCAAAATGTAATACAAGAAAAATTCTCATTTCACAATAGTACAAGGGAACATAGTGCAAAAGCAACAAAACGAATCGGTTACCTAACGTAACCTCGGTTCTCTCTAGATGAGGGAACGAGTATTGCGTAAGCTAGCTTACGCTACGGGAAAGATTAATCTTTTCTGAGAAATTGAAGCCAAAAAATTATCCTATAATTTTGTATCCATTGTCAACGCAGTTCAGCTGCAGCAGACCATGAGCGGGCTAGCTAGCAGCTCATTGGTTCGCTCACAGAGAACTGCTTAAGCCTATGAGGAGACGCGAATGAACTCTCGGCCAATGAGAGTCTGACATGCTCTCATTA